ACCTTGTTATCAAAGGAAGTGATAGTAATGGCTTGCAAAAGTATTGGGTAAAGGGATTAAGAGTAGATAATACAGTTAGTTGGGCACAATGGGCTGAATGCCCTCCTTCAATGTAATAATTCTGTGATTATGAAATGTCACAAGAAATGTGACATTTGGTGTGATAGCAGGAAGACCATGCACTTGGAAACATTTTAATATATTAAGAAACTTTTTTTCTTTCTTTGTGAGTCTGTATGCTTCTGTTTTTTTCCAGCATTGGGCAAGTAGTAAACATCAAAGCAAAAGTGAATCGTGCCTTTAACACAAGCTTGGAGGTATGAACCCTTGTTTCTGCAATGATTCACACTAATTCAATAAAGTAACAAGTCTTAGTGCTCTAATATTTCAAGGACTGTAATGGATTAAACTTTGTAAAGGTCTGGTATTTACTTAGCTCAATTTTTAAAATTTTTTTCATTTTTGCCCTCCTGTGGTTCCTCATTGGACTCCTACCAACTGCCAGCAGGTTAGTTTATCATTGACAGTAAAGTCAAGCTCAATCCTGGCATTCCCCCTGCAAACCACATCCAATTTGAGTTAAGAAATCAGGCAGTGACTCTGTCGCAAATCTAACAGCAGTGAAACAAATAACAGTACCCCAGTCTCAGTGTCAGAGCAGTCAGGGCATTAACCTTGAACATTGTGGTGTTGATGTTAAAATGTGCTTTTGGAGATCCAGTTTGGGTTGGGATTTGTGATGTTGGATCATGCTTTACAGATTGTTTCATTCAAAAGGTACCTCTTTTCTTAGGTTGGAGTTACAATCATTTGTGAAGATCCCTTAAGTGGAACACAATGGAAAGTCTGTAAAGCGTTTGCTACGTTTGTGGCTAAGGGATCAGGACTTCAAAAGGTAAGAGCGTGGGCTTAAAACATTTACTGAGATCTCCAGGTTGTGCTCTACCTAATAAATATTTTCTGTAAAGTTGTTGCCAGATTGTTCGTTTGATTAATAGTCTTTAAGTACAAACTCTGTAAATCTCTAGATGTATAGTTGAATTAGTAAGGAAGTTTATCAGTGTTGATACTAGCCACTGGATGAACAATTTAGGATTCAAGTCAGGAAGTACTTTTTTACCCGTCTGCAGTTGATAAACTGTAACACTCTACTGACTGCAAAGGAGCTTTAGTCAATAAAATTCATGCACCTTACTGAAGAATCCATTTGAATTTTATTAGATTAATTGTAGGTAGTTATAACTCCACTTACAGGCAGTAAATCCAGTGAATGATTCTTCTTCAGAATCATATATTGGTTGATCCCCTTGTGGGTCAGAACTTGGTTTAACACAGCCTTGAATACATTCAATTACCCAGCCTCTTCAATGATTGCTGTCACAGATAGGCCAGACCAGGTAGGGATGCCAGAATTTCTTTTCTAATGAACTTGTTCACTGTGACACCGACGCGAGGGCACTCTTCCCAGTGACACTGACTGGGAGGACATGCTTCCCAGAATACCAATGGCACTTTCCATCATTTTGCTTATGCTTGAACGTAGACTGATGGGTTGTAATTTGCCAAATTGGGTTAGTCGTGCATTTTATGGACAGGATAAAGATGGGCAGTTTCTCATTGTCAGATTGGCGCTAGTATAATGAGGCTGCAATGGATCATCTACTTGCCAGTTCTGGCTGAAGATGCAACAAATGCTTCAGCCTTTTGCATTGATATGCTGGCCTTCTTCATCATTGAGGAAAAAGATACCTTTTGGTGTTTCTTGTTAATTATTTAATTGTCCACCATCATTCATCACTAGATTCACTAGATGTAGCAAGACAGCAGATCTTTGATTAGGTCTGCTGTTTGTGGGATTTCATATCTCTATCGTATGCTGCTTTTACTGTTCAGCCTGCATGTAGTCTACTGTTGTTGCTTTAGTAATCGTCACTTCATTTTTAGGTATGTTTTGTGCTACTCCTGAAATGCTCTCCCATGCTAGTTTCACAGGTTATGTGGTCATGGTGCAGCACCGGGTCGTTTAACTCACAATAGCTTGCATTTATATAATACCTTAATGAGGTAAAGTGTCCCAAGGTTCCTGAGAGGGCATTATCAACCAAAATTTAACATGATCCATGTAATTGGACATTTGGACATGTGTGAAAAATCTTGGTTAAAGACTTAGATGTTAAGGAATGTTTTAAAGGAGAACAGAGAGGCAGAGAGTGGTAGAGATTTGAATGCTTAGGTCCAGACAAGTTAAGGATGGCAAGTTCCTTTCCCCGAGTGAACCAGTTCTTTCCATTTCTAGTGGTTGCTTTCTGATTCCAGCCCATACATCGCAAAGCATCAATGAGTTTAGTTTGCACTTTGCTACTTTGGGATTCAAATTCATGATCACTGTTGCTAGTCAGTACCATAGCAATTAGTCCATCTTACTATCTGCTCAATTATTTGACTTTCTGCTAACTTCTGAAATCAAATGAGGCATGATCTGATTTTAACAAATTGAATTCTGGCAGCACTTCACATTTTTTTAAAATCACAGTAACTTTGAAAATAGTTGATAGTTTTAAAAAACTTGGCAAGTAACTGTGGTGCACCTTTGTCAACAATGACTCTGTTTAGATTGACCTCAGTTTACCCAAATATCTGCAGGGACTGTTCTGATAAAAGTCAAGAAATTGCCATCAGTGTGGCAACAGTGGTGAAGCTATTTGCTAGTATGGCTGAAGTGATGGTGTACCCAGTCAGTATACTGACAGTATGACTTTCCTCTTCACAAAATGCAATCCAAACCTTCAGCGGCATTTTTCAGAAAATGTTGATTCTACTTTCCGTGCCTTAGGAGATATTTTTATATGAACAGAAAACCATCACAGGGCTGTGTGCTTTCTAGAGCTTGATACTGAGCAACCTTTATGAGACCCATGTCATCCTTCCTGGTGCATGTTGCAAAGTGTGATAGTAGCAGTAATTTCTTTCTCTCTCTTGCATAGAACATTTCCCACAATAGCATAGCTGAGGCTAATAATTTGATGATGGGGACACCAGGCTTAGTCCGTATCTTAATCCTTGTTTTTTAGTCCTTTAGTTCTCTTTCTCCTGATGGCGGCATTGTTTTACTGCTTTCAGTGATTTATTTCCTTTGTCCCTCCATCATGCTGCATCAAATGACCAACACAGTTTCTTCTCCCAACTCTAGTTTCCTGTAAGATCTGATTCTTGTGATATGTTTCCATATGCACAGGAAGCCATCTGTGGCATATTCAAGCAGGCATTCTTTCATGACAATGTTAGTAGGCTGTTCAACACTGAGGGCATCACACTCAAACCTTATCCCATTCCCACCAGATGTCCAGATGTGAACTTCCAGCTAGATCAATGGATAATGATCAAATGGAGGGAAGTAACCATGGCTACTTAGTGTTTGGTAGCTGAACCCAAGAATGTATTGGATCATTTGCAAGAAGTAACTTTAACAAAGGAAAGTGACCTTTCTCCAATATTTGCTTCATTGATGTGACCATCGATTTCTTACCAGGTGCAGTTAAAGCCTGTGATTCCTAGAACTTCTGAAGAACAGATGGAATACAGCATCGCTGCTGAGCGGCGCCGAATGAGGCTACACCACCTGGAAACCATCAAAGATCTGGTCTCCTCCTGCACAATTCGAGATGGTAGCCCTTTTGCCTTCTCTGCATTACTAACCCACACACAATCTTTATGGGAGAATAAGAAATTAATTGCAGAATAGCAGCCTTCATAGTTAGCATCCATTTAACCAAGCCGTTTCTGAAGAAGGATCCAGACCCAAAACGTCAGCTTTCCTGCTCCTCTGATGCTGCTTGGCCTGCTGTGTTCATCCAGCTCTTCACCTTGTTATCTCTCTCGCTATCTCAGACTCTTGATTTGAGTGATCTACATTGGATTACATAGGATATACAGCACTTAATCAGGTTATTTGGCCCAACCAGTCCATTGCAATTGTTTATGTTTCACTCCAGCCTGTTTGTTTTTGAATCATCTAAACCTATCCTTTTACCATCTAATTTTTTTTTCCTCCCTCAGTCAACTAGATAAGTTTTCTCCAGTTTCCCCTTAAATCTATACTTCTCACTTCAGTGACTCCCTTAGTGGCAGGATCAATGTTTTCACTACTCTTTGGATGAAGAATTTTTTGTGAATTTACTGTTAGATGTCTTTGTGACAGTTGAATGCCTGTAATTATGCTTGTGCCCTTAATAATAAAAACTCTCTGAATCCACTTTATCAAAACCTTTTCATGATTTTGGTTCTGTTAAGTCATCCCTCAGCCTTTTAGTCAAGAGAGTAGAGCGCCAACCTGTCAATCTCTTCCAGTCATGTATGTCCAGACATATCTTACCATCCTTGTAATCCTGCTCTGAACCCTGTCCAGTGACTCATCTTTTTCATCATATGTTGACCTGTACTATCTAATATTGAATGCAGGTTTTGTATAACTTGCCCACTTTTCAATTCTATCCATTCAGAATCAAAGTCAAATACTTGGTTTGCTTTTACTAATGATTTTGCTCAACTATGGTGCAACTCTTAGTTTAGCATCTGAAGTAATTAAAGATTGCCTGTTCCCTCGTGAGCCCTACCAGATTATGCTCTTTTTAAAAAATATCTTGTATGTGTTGAACAAATTTCTTTTCTTGAGTTGTAGACGCAGGTACAGTTACAACATTTAAGACATTTGGACAGGTACATGAATAGAAAAGGTTTAGAGGGATATGGGCCAAATGTAGGCAAATAATTTAGTTTGGGGAAACTTGATCGGCATGAATGACTTGGACCGAAGGACCTGTTTCCTTGCTGTACAACTCAATGTCCGAAAGTATTCCGTGAAATAAAACAAATGACATGTAAATCATCATTGGTAATATATCATTCAGCATGGATTGATCAAACTGATGCGTTCAGTTCTGATCTCCACCCCATCCAAATAGTCCGACAGTGCATTCAGTAATGGAAAGTGGCAGCTGAGGAACACGTTGAGCTGACTAGACAATATGGACTTGAAACCCACGCAGTCAAGATTTTTCAAAGAAGTCTAAATTTGATTCAAGGAACAGACTGGTCTGCATAGAATGTGATATAAATGCTTCCTGTCTTGACCTAATACTTTCGTGAATGAGAAAGCATGCATAACTTAAGTGAAGCAGCTTCTTACACTTTGTTTCTTGCTCAATTTCTTCTCTCCCAAGATGGGTAATGACATCGGACAGAACAATTTTTGTTGTTGACACTAGCCTGAGTTGTTTGTTGGATGTCTCAAACTTACTGTAGAGTGGTATTTAAGTGGCAGTTTTTATTTGCTGTAAGTAATACTAAACACTCAGTTGAAGCAGTATGAAACGTTTGAATTAAAATTCATATTTCTAATCTCTCTCTCTCTTCCCAGCAGATGCAAAGCCCCCATTTCAAACTCCCTCTCACATTTCCCAGCAGTGAAGATTAGGTCTACTTCTTTTTCTATTTGATCTCCAATCTGAGATGCACAGAAATTTCCCATGATGGTTCCTGTACCCAGGGAGAGGAAACACACAATTGTTTAGAACTTTTGAGATAACAAG